TTGTTTATAGGGATTTTTTTCTTTTTTTTTTGCAAGTAGAATTTGCACTTAAAGTATTGCACGCTAGTTATAGGACACCTTGTATAATGATAACCATTTTAACCGCCGCGTTGTTAGGCATCAGTGATTGGTCGATATTCACTGTGATTTAAACCAATTGGGTTTTAAATTAAAAAAAGGCGACTATAATATTTAAAATTAGTAAAAAGTGACGTTAACCATCTGATAGCTGTCAGATTTTATTTATTTATTTTTAAAAATCGTTTAAAATTCTACTAATTTAAGTAGATAAAGTATAGTATTACACTCAAGATTATGCGCATTATCTCTCGTATAATAACATACTATTATTCAACTCCCATTTAATTTCTTACCGCTTTTACCGCTGGGCGAAATTTTACTTCTCCCACTAGTGGGCGAAATAGCATTTTGCTCACGGGCTGAAGTTGACAGCTGTCAGATGTGGGAAACAATATCAAATAAAATTGGCAAATTCTTTGTAGTTGTTGAATAAAATATTTTGCGGATATTGTTCAAAAGAGGAGATTCCACTCGCGTGTTACCTTACTCGCTACGCTTGTGCGGCAAACTCCACGCGTTTAGAGCTTATGTTAAAGTAAGGTTTTATTTTTAAAATCATATTTTGTATTAGTATATTATTTAGAAACACCCTGTATTTATAATAAATTTAACTCTACAAATAAGCTTTAATTGTTAGTAAAACTTACTGATTTATTTTACGAAATATCATTCTGAAATACAAACCGCCATATTTTTTTTGTTAAAATGCATTATTTAAACATAAATTATTGCTAATTAGTATACAAACAGTTTTAACAAATATTGTTAAAAATAAATACCAAACGATTCAATCCTTCAAAACTTACACTTCAACATGTATAACCGAGACAATGGCTTCTAAACTAAATTAATAAACTGTTATAGTCAAAAATTAAATAATTATAAAACTTTTAAATAGTTAAATTTTATAATCAGAAAATATTTTATATTTTTAAAATTCATCATTTTGTATTTTTGAATAAAATTTAAATATTTAAAATAATTTATTTTAAACGCCTGAACATAATGAAGCACCAGGTGAAATAAAAAATAAGAAAATATATATTTTTTTGGATTTACAAAGTAGGGTTGATAATACTATTTATTTTAAGCTACAGCAACAGGGTATGGTAAGAGTCAGAAGTTGTGGGTTTACTTCAGTAAACAACTCTTCACGAATTGAGGATATTCCTGTTTTATATTGTGTTTTTTAACCAAAACATAAATATACGCGTATACGGCCACGCTACGAGCTTTTGAAGTTTTGGTTAAAGAACGCGCATTTTGTATTTTGAACATAGGGTAGGGTGGGGCAGGTTCGGACATGGGGCACCTCCGGACATTCTGATTTTACCGCCATGAAACCGAATTTAGTAAGCACGCGCATGGTCAGAGATGCCATTTCCCATTTGTAGCTGGTGGTGATAACTTTTGTAACGTTAACAACACTTGTGTGAAAAATACTTGTAAAAGTAGATTTGTTTACCTGTTCCTATAAGATTCATTGTGTGAATCGTAAGGACTGGGGTCGCACAAATAGCTTCAAGGTAAGTTTGATCCATATCTCTTGATAATAGGTATACGTTTTTTTCTATAACATAACCTAATTTTTAATAACGCATCAAGTCAGCTAGCGGTTTTACCTTCATGTCAATATGCCCCAAAATCTTCGAATCTACATTTGAAATAAAATCAAAGTTCCCCTTTTTTCCAGAATGGTTAGAAAATATAAAAAAAAGAAAAACCGACTAGAGATTGATGAGGAAATAGTACGATATGCTGTGAAAACCGTATAAGATCATAGAATGTCTATCCGCATTCCTGCAACAAGTTTTGGTATTCCAAACTGCACGGATTCAGGAAACGAGAGCGAATCAGAAAGTGCTGAAACAAATAAGAAATCGAAATGGGGCATCTGCTACGGATAGATCCGACCCTAACATTTCTACTACTATCAACCCAACCTCCAACAGAAAATACATATCCTCTCCGTCCACACCAATGGTCATTCATAGCAATCCTCTCCAAGTCACTGACAACAAGATTGAAGAAGTAACGGGAATGGTCAAGTCTTTACTAGATGATATATTCCAAGAAGCAACGAAATCAAGAATAAACATCTTATCGGTGGTGAACATATCGGATATACACCCATTTCCCAAGGCACCTCCTAGGAAGAAGGTTAAAAAGACACGTAAGGACAAATTCAGAATATATACAAGCACGCCAGAAAAAAATCGAATTGAACAACTCAAAAGTTGGAGAAGGTCAACACCAAAAAGAAGTTAAAGATTGAGGAATCTATAACTAACGCCGAGAAGAAAGCGACAGACATTAAAAAGAAACAAAATAATAAAAGAACAAAGGACGATTTAATCAGCTCATCAGATTCCGACGTCAAATTGCCGCGAAATATTGCAACGAAACGTAAATTTAACCAAATTTCATCCGATTCGGAGATAGACATGGATGAGAATTGGGACGAGTTGATCCTGCTGGACGATGAGGAGATTCTTTGCAACGATTTCCTATTGGTAAAATTTTCCAGCAAGAGAAGATTTTTGTTTTACGTTGAAAAAGTCGATAGAATGCATGGCGAGGAGCTTGAAGTGACTTTTCTCAGAAAATCGAAAAATGGATTCCATTTTCCCCCATTGCCTGATATTTCAACTGTGTACAGACAAGATGTGGTGGCCAAGTTACCACAACCAACGGCTGTTGCTGGATCGTCAAGAATGGCTTCGTTTTTTCGTTTTAATACTGACTTTTTTGGTTATAACGTTCAATAGTTCCGATTTGTAAAATAAAGCATTAAAATATCTACTGCTTTAAAAGTTTTTAACTCTGTCCGATACTGCCCCATACTATGTCCGAATCTACCCCATGGTGGGGCACTTTCGGACAAAGATATTTTTTGATAAGAGAATATGTCACTATGTGTAAAACACATCAAAGAATATGTGGTGTTGAAATCGCGTGGACCTCATTTTTTGTAACACCACTAGTGAATTTTGAATAAATGTGTACGAACCTGCCCCACCCTACCCTACAGATTAGGGTTGCCAACCGTCCTTTCTTTTAAAGGACAGTCCTTTATTTCTAAATACTGTCCTTTGTCCTTTTGAAAGGTGTCAAAGGACGGCAAATGTCCTTTAAAATCCGGAAATACCTTTGAATAAAAAACCTCAGGAAGGACCCTGCCAAATCTCGTTAATGTAATAAATTTACGACGGAAGTCCGATTATGTGTCATTTTTTCTGACAGATGACAGTTTGTGTTTGTTTATTTACCAGTTTGAGGGTTTTTGGTTTGTTTAATAGCGTTTTTTTGTTGTTTAATAGCGCTTATGGTTTGTTCTATGCGTTTTTGTTGTTTAATAATTAAACCTTGCAAAGAATTAAACGTTATAGCTGGCGGAAACGATAGTCCGCCATTTGTGGCGACCAATTGGTTAGGGAAATACAGATAAATCCACAATTATTTCAAAAAATGCCCATACAAATACCATAAGACGTAAAATTGGCAACATTTGAAATATTTTGGTAAATCCCCGAGCTCCAATTTATCCAGCATACCTTGTATTTTTATTTTGTTCCTCGTTGTGTTGAGCCCTTGTGTGTAGTCGACTAGTCCCTGTGTGTAAGGTGTTTTTTTTAACCCTATTTTACAACTTTTTAACAGGAAACGGTAAGTGGAAATACAATATTAAAATTATATTATTAGATTTCAGTTTTTTGTCGCAATATATTTTTAAACTTTAATTGGAAAATTAAATTAAACAGATTCATAAAAAGTAGCATTATTTATTTGCAGGTTTTTGCTAAACATCATCAATAAAATCATCATGAATGGTGATAAAGTCGTCGATGCAAGTGATGATGTCCCAAAGTCACAGACATCTACGTCAAGCCGTGCCCCTTCTACACCACCTCCCTCGTCCGAAAAAAAAAATCGGAAAAGCTGTAAAGTAGCCGTGGCACCCAAAAAAAATCCCAATTTGTCCTTTATTTCAATAACCGAAAGTTGGCAACCCTACTACAGATGCGAATGCGAACACTTAAAAACTTGTAGCGTGACCTTCAAAACCAATAAAATGTGGTCAATACTTAGGTCCCTTAGAGCTATAACATATCTAAATGTAAATTTTAAATCAGACAACTTTGATAATTTTGTTAACCGCTTGGTGTTAAATGCCCAATTAATTAAAACCATGCTTGGTGGCACATCTCAATATTAATGAGTCAAAATTTGTCAGAATTATTACACTACATAGCAAGTAATGGGACCGAACATTTTATAAATATCCCAATATAAGACCACTTTAATCGTTATCCAATAATATGTGCCACTCTTTATTAGTTAAATAAGGGCCTGCTCAACTGGCCAACTGATTGTGGCAATTTATTGTGTAGCACAACAATTTATATTAAAAGTTAAAAATCGTCACATGCATTGATATCCTTTAGCTTTGCCTTTAGCTTTATACACCTAAAAATACAATATATACCCAAAAATCAGTCAAGGGGCAAAATATTTTTTTGGAAGGCAATTTATTTTTTCTCCTACTCAAAATGCACATTAACACAAGACAACATCTCGATAACATTTTAATTGGGATCTCAACAGATTAACGACGCCAGATTCGCCTTTTAGGTAAGCTGAAGGAAATAAACCCATACAACGATTTAACATGTTGCATGATTAATTGACAAGATTTGCCAAGCAATAACAATCACGTTTTTGACTAAAATGTTTTACTTGTACTTACAAGTTTTAAGTAAAAAAAATTACTTTGCCTATAGCATTATATATTTAATAAATCCAATTAATTAAATTATTATTTTTTGGAAAATTTAGTACCATTTAAAATTATTTTATAAAAACTTTTAAAAAATGTGAGATTCAAAATTAGCTAAACTAATAAAATAAGAAAAATTTACCAAGTCATGTGTTTCTGGTTGACCCTGTTGAACTTCATCATCATCTGAGTCTTCTTCTCCTGATGAGTCTGGATGATCTACGAAATCATTAAAAAATATATAAAACAAATTTGAAAAAGTAAATTAATAAAACATTTAATACATTTTATTTTCTATTTGTCTTGGCATATCAAGCATGCAGTTTTGTTTAATTTTATTCAACACCCGCAAGGAATATGAATTTCCTAATTGTCCATGTCTTAACTTCAACCTGTGGGCAAAATGCTATTTTGCCCCTGGGCTGTAGTTAGCTTTAAGTTAAAATTCTAAATATCTAAAATGCAGAGTAAAGAACGACGACAATTGTTTATATTTTATCAAGTATTCAGGTGTTGCGTTTGGGAGTTCCGGGAATTTCTTTTATTTAATAAAAAACAGATTTTAACATCTTTAGAAATATTGAGAAAACTAATTTTCTCGAGAACATTGAGAAAATTGAGAATCTTCTCGAGAATATTGAGAAAAATCAGAATATTTACGAGAATTTTGAGAATAAACAAGAAAACTAAGAGCTAACTTTGCTTTGCTGTTAATAAATTCTGAGGTTTCTGCATTCTCTAAAAATAAATGCTTAAGCATTTTTCATCTCTAATTATTATTATATTAGTAATATTTGTACTAGCTAATTGTCCCCAAAACATGGTATAAATTAAAATATGTAGAATCAACATTGTTCTAACTTGTAGTTGACAATGACAAGAGAACCAGTTGGCTACATTGACATACTTTAAACATATCAGTTTCTCAAAGTGGTAATAAAAAAATGAGTTTAGTTATTTTTTTCGGTTTTGTGCGAAAATATGTGACGCGATCTGAGAAAAGGGACCTAGTATCCAATATCTGATTTTCGAGATTATTAATATTATAAGTAGAGTGGTAAACGATATTTTGAAAGGTCCAGATAGAATTTGTTTATCTAAAAAATTGACATGGCTATTAACTTTGTAAGTCGAGCACAAACCCTTTTCCGCGTGAACTTCAATCACTTCTCCTAAAACTTAATTTTCTATACTAGGATTATTGTATGCAAACAAAATATATACAATGTATACTCTGCATATAACATATAAAATGGATAAATTAAAAAAAAAAAAACAAAAACTTCTCAGAAACTGTTTAGATAATATGGATAATTTTTAATATTCCTTACCTCTTTGAGCATTATCCAACAAATGATTGTTTTTAACACTAGTAAGTTCAGCATAGCAATGGAGACAAACTCTTAATGGTTTTGAGCTTTGATTTGGTAGTAAAAACCGTTTATTTGAGCATGGACCACATACTACAGCTCCACATTTACGGCAATGATGCTAAAAACAAAAATATTTGTAAATATATAAACATAAAAATAAATAATATAATTACCCTTCTATTTATCAATGTAAATTGACTTTTTCTACAATGCATGCAAACAGTTGCTTCCCCATCTGGTACCCAAACAGCTGCATGCTCCTCCACAGCCTTTTTACCACCTAAAGAAAAAAGTTATCCAGGTTAAACAATAAAATTGCACATAAGTAATCTTAAGCAATTATACTTACTTTTTCTCAACAGATCATCAATGCATTTGTTAATATGAGCCATCCATTCACTTTTTTCAATTGGAGTCGCTGCATATACTGCAAACGATTTTGAGGCTGTTTTTATCAACCAACCATTTCTATATTCTAAAAAAAACACAGTTATATAGTATATATTCCATTGTGTCTAAAATATATACAGAAAAAAAACTGTGGACCTGTAATTTACAAGTATTAATATTTATTTTATCAAATATTGTCTTGCAGGTAAATTTAGATTTTTTTAAGTGGGAGTGGAAATAAAAAAATAATAAAAAAAGGAATAACGAATGCCAAAACTATGGTGATCAAGGATTTTTATTTTGAAGTACGTAATAGTTATTTACGATATAAGTGGGATAAGAGCTTTATTAACGTACGCATGCGAAATTTGCCCAACGAGTGCGTAGCACGAGTTGGGCAATCGCAAAAGTACGTTAATAAAGCGTTATCACACGTAACGGGTGATTCATTTAGACCTTTGTTTTTAAATTCTAAATAAAATTCATTAAATGGAATTGGATGGCGGAATCTTTATAATGACCTAAAAGAACAATCTTTGACATTTATTTTTTGAAAATAATTTCATTTAAATGCTGGCCGCGACTACGGCGTACGTGGTCCATTCGGAAGGTCCAATTTTCGATCACTCTTTCTAGCATTGCGACCGGTATCTGCCCAATTAGGCGAGTAATGTTGGCTTTTTAGTCCTGAATCGTAGCTGGATTATCGACGAAGACTTTTGATTTAACAAGACGGAGCTACGGCACACACAGCGCGCGAAACAATACCTTTATTGAGAAATCATTACTCGGGTAATTGGGCAGATACCGGTCGCAATGCTAGAAAGAATGATCGAAAATTGGACCTTCCGAATGGACCACGCTGTAAGCCGTCAGCATTTAAATGAAATTATTTAAAAAAAATAAATGTCAAAGATCGTTCTTTCAGGTCATAATAAAGATTTCGCCATCCAATACCATTTTATGCGTTTTATTTAGAATTAAAAAAAAAGGTCTAAATGAATCACCCACAAATTTTTATCTACGCCTCTAAATTGAAAAATAAACGGTAATTATTTTTGTCTAAGACTTAATTTAGGGTTATTTTGACATTTTGACATTTTGACTTTTTTATTTGATTGGTTAAAAGCAGAGAAAAACGCGTGCGTTAATGAACTTCTTATCACACTCAAAATGAGTGGGATAAGAAGTTCTTATCTCACTGGCGTAGATAAAAATTATATAAAAATTATAATTCACTTTTGGTTGGTGTTAAAAGAAATCAACAGCCATAAAATAGAAACCAGTCATATTTACTAAAACCCCTTTTAATTTAATGATTTAAATTTGGATACACAAGGGTGGCCAGATTTTTAAATGATAAATGCTGCATACAGCAGAAGGCAGTTGAAATAAGCAAAAAAGGGTAAAAAGCATGCAGACAAAAAAGGAGGGTCAAGTAGGTATATCTACTTGATTAATTTTGATTTTGGAATAAAAATCATACAAAAGGAAACTACAGCACTCTACTAAAAATAGAAGTAGAGGTTCAGGTAGGTGTATACCCGGACAACATTCGTGATATTCATACGAACATCACGTCGTGATTTTCACAAATTTTATTCATACTGATATCATACGGAAGTCACCGCGTAATAAATGAAAATCATACGAACGTCACGTCGTGATTTTCACAAATTTTATTCATACGGACATCATCCGGATGTCACTGCGTGAGAAATACGGAAGTCACCGCGTAATAAATGAAAATCATACGAACGTCACGTCGTGATTTTCACAAATTTTATTCATACGGACATCATCCGGATGTCACTGCGTGAGAAATGAAAATCATGTCGTGATTTTTTATGCCATCGCTGTTTGCGATTGACCGATGGCACAAAAAATCATGTGATTTTTTATGCCAACGGTGTTTGGATAATCATTTTTGCGCCACGTTTGTACACTAAGAGGAAAATTATGTTGAATCAACAGTTTTTGCTTTAAATACATTTAATATTTTCTTGGATTTAAATTAACTATATATAGTTAATTTAAGTCCAAGAAAATATTGAATGTTAAACTGTTAATTCAATGGTTAACATACATTTTCTTTCAATGTACGAATGTATCGCAAAAATGAATATCCAAACACCGATGGCATAAAAAAACATGTCGTGATTTTTTTAAACCATTGGTGTTTGGATATTTATGTTTGCGCCACATTTGTACATTGACAGAAAAAGTATAAAGTAGAAACCACGAATATATGAACGTGACTCATCCGACACATTCGTACGAAGCAATCTATCGAAGGTCACGGTCCAGTGCAGTCCTGTTTGTAAAAAATCTTGAGTGTAATGTTGGTTGCTATACTTATGATATATTTGCTTTTAAAGTTAAATAATTAACATCTAACATAATTAACATCTACGATAATTAAATAAAATGTAATTTTCTTAGAAACGAATTAATAAATAAACTTTTCTTTTAACTTTAATGAAATATTCTATCATCTGATGACAGAACGTACACTCGTGGCGACATCTCTGTTTTTAATATCTAACAAATTTTTAGACCGATCCAACCTCACTTTCTTCCAATTAAATTCTTTGTCTATGGTATTTTTTGAAAACGTAGAAAAAGTATAGTCTGAAACACGTTTGGAATTGCATATTCCCCTCTCGTGAAACCGTCAAACTTGTTACAGAATATACTATTCTTTTAACTGTAAACGCAAATATTTCAGAATTGGTGACAAAAAACAAAAATGTTTACGCAGGTCAGGTACAAAGTGAAAGATATTTAAATTGTGTGGATATAAAAACAACTTGCGTAAGTTTCACGAAATTTATTAAATATTGACAATTGTTTCACTACACTGTACAGTAGCTTCTTCAGAATGTATTAAACTAATACTAGTACAAAATTTATATAATAAAAATATTTTTGTATTCTAGCCTAGAATTTCTAGGTAAGGATTTTTATACGACATCTACCTGTGTTACATAATATAAACCACTGCCACTACAACGTTTAAAACGATTATTAATCCGTTAACACACACCGTTTATTTAAAGTCCAAAAAACGTACAATAACAATTGCAATAAAGTCCAATAAACATGCAATAACAATTGCAATAAAAACCACTAGCACTACAACGTTTAAAACGATTATTAATCCGTAAATACACAGCAGAAACACGATATGCAAAAACAAAGATCATATGACATATAAAAACAAATGGCCGACGGTAAAGTTTGTTGCCTTACTACACTCGACCGCAAAATTAACCGGACACTTTGTTTTTCGGGAAAATATATTTTATAAATAAGAAAATATAAACAAATTTGAATTATTTTTAATAAATCCCTTATTATTAAACATTTTTAACCAGAAAAAATTATAAAAACATTTGTTAATTATTTATAAAAAAACATTTTTGAAAAATAAAACAAACTAATATCCTTTATTTAACAGAAAAAATACAAAAAAATGCCCTAATAGCGAGTATTTCCACCTCTAGCTCGAATGACAGCTCTTAGCCTTTCAGGCATGCTTTGAATTAAAGCAGCCACATCACCCTGAGGTATCTGATCCCATTCAACCAATAGCGCTTCTTCCAATTGAACCAGAGTGTGAAACTCCCCGTAGTTTTGCCTAATTCTTCTCCCTAGGTTATCCCACACATGCTCAATGGGATTCAGGTCAGGACTTCTAGGTGGCCAGCCCAGAACCTGAATACCAACGTCGTGAAGGTACTGACGCGTTACCTGGGCTGTGTGCGGCCGAGCATTATCCTGCATAAGGAAGAATTGGTCTCCAATAAAGGGTGCATAAGGTACCACATGTTCTTCGAGACACTCCCTTATGTACCTGTCAGCGTTTATACTACCCCCTTGAAACGTTACAAGTGCCGTACGAGCCTCCAAAGAAATGCCTCCCCAAACCATTACACCTCCACCGCCAAACTGTACTCTGGGAGAGAAGCAGCACTGAATATATCGCTCTCCGGGTCGTCTAAACACGTGTTGTCGACCATCAGGTGAGTATCTGGTGAAACGGGACTCATCCGTAAAGAGAACACGACTCCATTCAACCATACCCCAATCGACATGGGTTCGCGCAAATTCCAAGCGCTGTCTACGATGGGCTGCGTCCAATAGTGGGCCAGTGGCAGGTCGATGGGGCACTAAGTTATGTTCCCTCAGTCTTCTTAGTACAGTATCTGATGAAATGGTTGTACCATGAACATCTTCCAATCTCCTAGACAAGGCTGTAGCAGGAAGTGTCCGGTCTCGCAGAACTTGAAGTCGAAGAAAACGGTCTTCAACTTCACTTGTTGATCGCGGTCTTCCTTGTCCAGGTAATCTTGAATAGGAACCTGTTTCCCTAAACCTTTGAATTGCATCAGACACTGTACTTCGGGGAATATTTAGTGAGTTGGCAATATAACGTATGCTGCGTCCATCATTGTAAAGTGCAACAGCTTGAGCGGCTTCTTCGGGAGTCATTACAGATTTTTTAAATAAAAATAACTTTTAAAACAAACTTAGAAAAACCGTAAAAGGCCAAAAACAAACAGGAATAAAAATTAATTGAAGAGCTCTTTTAAATAAGTAATGAATTAAAGAGCTCTTCCAAACAATTAAAATGTTAAAGATATAAAAAATGTATAAAACAATGTCATCGTCGTATTTTAAAGCCTAAAAAACTTTAGAATAAATTAATCTTATATTTTTTTATGTGTTACATCAATATACAGGGCGTTTAAGAAATTTTATTAAGGAAAAATCAAGTGTCCGGTTAATTTTGCGGTCGAGTGTATGTAATAAAATAAAATAAATGCCTAAAACACGAACTCTACTGAATATAAGTAACAAGCTAGGACACGCGTCATATGTCCATCTTTGTCCAACACCTAGGCAGTTTTAGATCACAGATGGCGCATTTTAGACCGGATGCTTAAAAACCTACGTGTGAGTACATTTATCGCTGCATCGAATGTACAAGACAAGTAAAACATTACTGCTAGCATGTCTGAGATATGTTCGGCACCCGATGAGTCACGTTCATATATTGGTAGTTTCTACTGTACCTACATA